ACTATCAAGAAACCTGAAAACAATTATTGGAGAGGATGTGGAGAGGAACCTTATTCACTGCTGAAGGGGGGGTACAAATTAGTTCAGCCATTATGGAACTCAGTTTGGAGGGTCCTCAAAAGGTTAACAAGAGAAATACCATATGACCCAACTATTTCACTCCTGGGCACATACACAGAGAACTCCATTCCTTACTAAAGAGATATTTGCACCACCATGTTTATTGCTACTGTATTCACTATAACAAGGAAATGGAACCAACCTAGTTGTCCATCAGTGGAGAAGGGAGAATGAAAATCTGGTACATGTATAAAATGTAATATTATTCAGCTCTAAAGAAAAATGAAATCACAGAATTCACAAGAAAGTGGGTGGATCTAGAATGTATAATATTAAAAGAAGTAGGGGGTGTGGTGGCTCATGCCTTTAATCCCAGCACTCTGGAGGCAAAGGCAGACTGATCTCTGTGAGTTTGAGACCAGCCTGGTCTACACAGTGATTTCTAGGCCAGCTGGGGCAACAAGACTGTTTCAATAAATGAATGAATGGATGGATGGATGGATGAATGAATGAATGAATAAAGGCTACCCGATCATAGAAAAAAACGCATGTTCTTCCTCATATATGGATCCTAGCCTACAATGTACGCATGTACACATGTAAACAAATGCATGCATGGTTTTACTATAATATTTAGAAAAGAGAACAAGAAAGGGTAATTCGTCAAGTGTGGTGGTACATGAGTTTAATCTCAGCCCGTGGGAGGCAGAGGCAAGTAGATGCCTGTGAGTTTGAGGCTATCCTGATCCACATAGCAAGTTCCAGACCAGCCAGGGCTACACAGTGAGACCCTGTCTCAAAAAGGAGGGGATGGTAATAATTTATAAAAAGCATACTAATGAATCCGCATGTATAGCACACTTTGTGCAAGTCCTTTGAATCCAGCCTCGGGATGTGATTCATTTTTTATGTGGCACGGGTCCTTGGGCAGTACTCAGATGTGATTCACCAGGATGCTGTGGCCTTGTGTGAAAATCTTAATTTTACTTATGTCTTCCCATTCTTTGAATATTTCTCTGTGCTATTGGGATTTGGGGGAGTATTAATAAACTTTAATTTTTAAACAGGAGGAATTGTGTGTGAAGGTGCATGTGTGTGCGTGTGTGTGTATGTGTGTGTGTGTGTGTGTGTGTGTGTGTGTGTGTAGACCAGAGGACACCTCAGGTATTCTTTTCTTAGGGGCCAACCACCTTTTTTTTTTTAAGACAGGATCCCTCACTTACCTAGAAATAGGATATAAAGCCAAACAGGATAGGCTGGATAGCCTGTAAGCCTATAGGATCTGCCCATCTCTGCCAACCTCAGCATGTACCACGATGCTTATTTTGTTTTTGTTGTTGTTATTGTTTGAGACAAGGTCTCACTATGCAAACCTGGCTGGCCTTCAAACTCTTTATGTAGACCAGACTGGCCTTGAACTCACAGATTCACCTGCCTCTGCCTCTGTGGGATTAAAGACATGTGCCACCACACCCAGCCTAGAAAGCACATTATTAATGACATACAGTTGGGGGGCTAGAAGAGGGGAATGGGGAAAGATTCTGATAAGATCATTTCTTTTGAAGTAAAATGTTCTAAATTGGGGCTGGAGAGATGGCTCAATGGTTAAGAACACTGACTGCTCTTGCAGAGGCCTAGAGTTCAAATCCCAGCACCCACATGGTGGCTAATAACTGTTCCTAACTCAGTTCCAGGGTATCTGGTACCCTCTTCTGACCTCCGTGGGCATTGCACTTACATACATGCAGGCACTACACTCATACATATAAAATGAAAATAATAAGATATATTTTTTTAAGTTCTAAATTACATTGTGATATGTTCACAAGTGTGTGAATATGCAAAAAAAAAAACTCCACTAAACTGTGTATACTTTTCATGGGTACATGTTATGGTATGTTAATTAAAATCCTGACCAAATTATTATTTTAATGTGATGAGTGTTTTGTCTGCATGTATGTAAGTGTACCACATATGTGCAGTACCCAAGGAGGCCAGAAGAGGGCGTCATATCTCCTGGAATTGGAGTTACAAACACATGTGGGTACTGGGAACCAAACCCGAGTCCTCTGCAAGGGCAGCAAGTGCTCTTAACCACTGAGCCATCTCTCCAGTCCCTTGACCAGATATTTTAAAAATTAAAAATCACTGTGATAACTGAATGAAGAAATCATTTATTGAAGGATGTGAGGAAGAGGTACTTATACTAGAGAACAAATATGTATGTCCATAGGTTTATTAGATTGCTTTTCATTAGGAGACTATACTAAAAGTATGGAAAGGGAGGCAAGTGCATCCTGTATATGAATACTTTCTACAGGGTGCTGGGATACTTTTTCTCCACTTAGAAAAAGGGGAATAGGAGGATGGAGAGATGGCTCAGCAGTTAAAAGCACTGACTGCTCTTGCAGAGGACCTGGGTTTGATTCCCACCACTCACATGGCAGGCTAACAACTGTCCATAACTCCAGTTCCAGAGGAATCTGATGCCCTCTTCTGACCTCCGCGGCACTGCACGACACAGGGGCACCTATATACATGCAGGCAATACACTCATACACATAAAAAATTAAAAAAACTAAGATTTAAAAAGGGAATAGAAGTCATAACTAGCTATGAAATACTCTATTCTAAATGTATAACAAATCAAAGACATCTCTATTAAACACTTTTAATGTTTAAAATACATAACAGATTAAGGGTAAGTGCATAATTAAAATATGACTCAGAAAAATGTAATGCATACTAAATACATACAAATGCATACAAAAATAAATACATATATTTGATCCAGCCAGTCTGCTCCTAGATATACACCCAAGACCAACACACAAGTCTTTGGAAATGTTCAGAGAAGCCGCAGTAGCCAAAAAATTGGGAGAGATTCAAACGTCAAGCGAGTTGGTTGCCAGAGGAAGGGTGCTGGGTTACAAAAGGGGTCTAGGTGAACTTTCAAAGATGATGGTTACCAGCACTACTGGTTATGGTGCTACTTTCCCATATATAAACATACAGTAAAATATGTCAGATTATCTACTTTATGTATAGTTTACTGTATGCCAATTACACCTCCAATAAAGCTGATTTTAAAGATGTTACCAAGATCAAGAAAGATGTGATTCTAACTGCACCTCCCCCTGCCATCCAGGGTGTGCTTGTAAACTGAACCAAGAACTTGGTCCGCCCTGTTTCCTCTGAACTGTGTCATGGCTTCCCACAGGCTCCAAATGGGCCTTTCACAAAGTCAGTCAGAGTAGCCTGTCTCTCCTCTCTGAATCCTTATCTACCCTCCACACCCTGTTCCCATATTTAAACAGCTACAAAGCCACTGTGCTCTTAAGAAAGTCCAGTTTCACACAACTCCTATCCTGAGAAACACTTCAAATTTAGTAACTGAAGAAAGCTCACCAGCAGACCTATTTTATAGTTTATAGAGTTCTGCCAGAGGGAATTGCCCCACCAGAGATTTAAGTCATTATTTCTGCTCTTTTGAGTATAGATGAAAACAGGAAAACAGCCATCACATGCTTTGTTATAATTAGGTTCAGCCCCATGTAACAGAAAAATCTAGTTGTTTACATGCAAGGAGTTATTCTCTTCACTTTATAAAGACCAGGAGTAAACAGGTGCTGTTTTGACGTCTCTGTGAAGTTATCAGGGTCTCAGCCTCTGGCTTCCTGGGGCATGTGACTTCCACTCATAGGGTCACATGATGTCTGCTGAAGCTCAGCTCTGAGCAGCAGAAGTGAGGGGGAGGTTAGGGAGGTGCTTGATCACCCTAGAAGACACAGCCAGGCTTCAGGCAAGGGGGCATCGTGCCTCTCCATCAGGCCAGGTGCCTGCTGTTTGGAGTCAAAGACAGGTGGACTCTGTACAGGTTCTGCACCACAGTGAAAACAGGGCTCCAGTCGAGCACTTTACTTTTATGTTTGAGAATTTCATATATGAGCACTGTATTTGCATTATTTCTGTCCCTCCCAGGACCCCTCCAACTCCTCCCCAAATCCTCCAACTCCCTCTCAATTTCTTGAGAACCCCATCTTTTGATGCTAGGCCTTTCCTTTCAATGAAGAGCGGCTGCAAAAGAGCACCCCTGCTATGCTGTGGCCCAGCCTTCAGAGACAGAGACCTCATGACAAGGGCAGGAAGGACCTCTTCTCACAGTGGTGAAAACAGGCCCTGTGAGACCCACCAATGCGCTGCGTCAAATCCTTCAGCTTCCTCAGAACACGTGTAGCCATTAGGCCACACGATGTTTCTGGACTATGGGGCAGAAGGTAGAGGGCTTCTTGTCTCTGAGCAAACACTTGGAAAGGATAATGTCTCACAAATTCATAAAGGTAGCCCATCATGGAGGGTGATGGTGAGAAAGGGGATGGGAGGGTCTGTTCAACAGTGGAGACTTTTCTTGGCGTTGGCTCTCTGGCTGCACTACTCCCCAGAGCTGCCTTCTGCTCAGCTCTGGGTTCATTTGCCACTGTCAGTGAATGAGCCAGGGTGAATTCAGTCACACTTCATTCCCTTAAACACTCCAGTGGCCCCTGGACACAACCTAGAGAGAATGGGGGACCTGAAGGGGACAGTTCTGAACTTTGGGCCTGCCCAGACACAGCACTTAACTGTAGTTACTGCAGGAGCACACTGACTGTTTAAAACAGATTTTAGAAAAAACTACAGATATAAAACAAAATGAATCTCCCTCCTTTCCAGAACAATGCTCTCTAGGGATCATCACATACAGTTTCTGGTGTATCTTTCCAGAAATTTATGGAAGTGTATTCTGTTTATTGCGCTTGCAAGAATTTGACTCAAATAATTCACTTAGTAACGATGAAAACTGCTAAGTATTAGATGTACCTTATTTACCTTGAAATTGGAAGCAGAAAACTAAACACAGTAAAGTGGACAATTCTTCCAGAGTGCAGTTTTTGAAATGGCCACCAGGCGTCAGAGCTGCCAGTATGCCTGACTGGAAATTTACAAGGGAAGAGCATCCACAGAAAATGCTGTGTCGCTCCTCCTTAGCTTCTCTGGCTCCTCCTTAGACAGCTTCTCTGGCCCTCTGGCCCAGTATCTCACCCACTCCGCCTGGGGATAGGGGGTGTCAGGGAAGGGAACCACAGGAAAAAACACTGGGTTGTCAGGTCATGAATTTGCATTGGCTGGGCTCCCTCCAATCTCTAGAGAGGCTGTTTATAAACTGTTTAAACTGTACGGAAATGTGATCAAGCAGGGTCTGTCCTGTTGCTGGAAGGTTGCTTTTAGAAGCCAAAGTCACCTATCCTGTGAGAAGCTCTGAAACAGGAGGGACTTCAGCCATGGTCATCCTGTTTCAGGAGGAACATCCAGTTCTGGGTAGACAGAGCTCTTTGTGACCAGAATACCATCTTTTGCCACTTCCTCGTTGACTCAGCATATACTTCCTGTCCAGGCCCCAGCTGCTGTCTTTAGCTGCTGATGGAAAAATATCTAACCTCTGTGGGGAACACAGGGCTGGGGCATCCCTTTGACAACTCTCAGGCTGCTGTTCCAGGTTACACATTCCTCCCTTGCTGCTCCCCCGACTGGCCCCTGTATCCAGCTCTCTGGAGTTGACACCCTGTGGGGGACCCAGTGACTCCCAGGGGCAGGCCTCCTCCTGTGCCTTCCCAGATTGCCAGCATCTGAAGGGGAACAGACTGCAGTACACCCCTGTGCAGAGAGGAGCTGCAGCATAAGCAGACCTCATCCTTCATCCTGGGAGGGTGCTGCAGCCCTGGGAGCACAGTAGAAAGGTGCTAACAAGGAAGGCAAATCATTACATGGTGTCCCAGTGGGTACTGGATCACATCCCATTTCTGGGCCTTGGGACAAGGGAAAGGATCACACAGGACTGGTACCCCTACATACTGAGGCAGAACAATGCCATATGCCTTTGGAAGGCTCAGGAGCTTGTGTGATAACAGGGAGGAAGTGAGACAAGGCCAAACCTTCATGTCAGCACTGTAAACCCCTCATTCTACTTAAAATGTGATTCCCATGCTTCTGACAAGCCAAGTTAAGGTGACCTTTTTATGTGAAATTGAATGACCATATCTGCTAAACCGGCACATCCTATATAGGCCACGTGAAGCAACTATAGTTATTTTAGTTACTACACACTTTAAATGCTAGATATATAATTTTAAATGATACACCTGTGGTACCATACACATAATAAAAATTCTGCTTATTATTAAAACATAGGTTCTATTCACACTCAGATATGACTATACAGGATGTTTGATGCTCCAAACATTATGTACAAGCCATGTGCTTCATGTAAAAATTAAAAGGGGATGAAACAATGCTTATATTGAGACCGACATTAATTTACCATGACTGGGAGAAGAACTGCTGCTTTGATGTGGCCTGCACAGGAACGGCAACTGAGGTTTCCCCCTTGATTCTACCATATGTAATACACAAGGTACAGAAGAGAAAGAACCACTTGTAGCACCACCCACACTCCATCCCTGACCATGGAGTTGGGATTGTGCTCCATGAGGAGAGGGAGGCTGAGACACCCAGCTGTGCCCTAATATACTCTGGGTCAGAAAACAAGGGGCCCTTCTGCTGGTCACCGCCTTAACTGCTTAGTGACTCCTGGGTAATCCTGAACCAGCCAGATTCCTGGAAAGCAAAAGAGAACCCAGACCACTGAAAAGACTTGTTTTCAATCCCAAGTGCTACTTCGTTGAGCCATTCAAATGATGGTGGTTCCACAGGCCAAGACAGACTTCAAGGGTCCACAATGGACATGAAATCTCCAAGCTTCCAGACCTCCGGAAAGGCAGCAACTGGAAAAGGTGCTGAGAGAGGAGAGGAGGGATTCCCTCCACCCCACTGAATCAAAGGACCTGCTTGCCCACCCTCCAAGTTAATCACGTTTCAGGTGTATGAGTCAGCATGGAGCTGGGTGGTCATGTTCAGTGTGCCATGTGTGGCATCCTAATGACAACAGCTCCTCCCTCTGCTAATCCTTCTTCCTAAGAGACTCCACCTCCAAAGCCCTGTGGTCAGGCAGGCAAAGGCCTGCTTCATAGTCTCCAGTTTCCTCATCAGGACCATGGGGCATGTCCCTTCTAGAAGGTGGGTCAGGAAACTGCTGAACATACATAAACAGCACTTCCTGCATCAGACGCCAGCCTGACACATAGCAAGGCTGAGCTAAACGCTTGGGCTCTGACCAAGGTTATCCCTCCCACATAGGTAGGCGGCCTTCCTCACTCACCTGCATCTTCTGAGGTGGTGACAAATAGCTGTGCATGTTGAAATGCGAAACAACACACAACACAGCAGGAAGTGTTCCTCAGCAGTCTGACCTGCCAGGAGAAAAGCAACTGCACCAAAAGATACAGGAGAGACTGGGTTCTCCTGCTCCCTGGGTGGCTCGTGACATTTCAATTACACTCAGCACAATACAGCTGAATTATTTTTAACCTTCCAGAGCCTCCTGGCTTTGAGAAGGAATGTTAGTTGGGGGAGCCGAAGGATAGATAGAAGCAGAGATCGGAGGATCCCTAACCAAAAGAATAAGCCCCTAAATAGCACTGTACACAGCTCTGGGTGGGTAGAGCAAGGTGTCACCTACTCAAGGAGCCATGTCAATGGGCCATTGTAGGTGTCCTTTATTTCTTAGAGTATTATAGTACACTTCTCTCTGGCACTTTCCCCGTGATCTTGGTTGGATCACATTGGAACACTTTGAGATAATCCCATCTAAATTCAAAAATTCTGACTGCATCATCTTTTGGACAACTTCATCCAATCTTTAAACATACTGACTACAGGTTGCAATTACCTAGGGTGAGAGACAAAGGAAGAAGGGTCCCTTTTCTTCCACTTTCCTCCTCGTACTGTGAAAACCACTTTTCCAAACTTGTCAAAGACCTCACAGTGCAAAGAGGAACTCAGATTGCTTCTGATCATAGTGCTGCAGTTTGAAGCCTCCAGTGCCTACAGGCGCCCCATAGATACACTCACAGCACCATCTTAAGCTATGTTCTTCTAGCCCTGTAACATCTTGCTTTCTAAAATAGCCATTTCTTCTTGAAATATGGCCCACATGTAGTAGGCATGAGTATAAGAAATAGGTCACTTTTAGCTAGGCAAGGTGGCACATGCCTTTAATCCCAGCACTCAGGAGGCAGGGGCAGGTGAGTTTGAGGTCAGCCTAGTTTACATAGTGAGTTCTAAGTCAGCCAGAGCTAAAGAGTGAGACCCTGCCTAAAAGAGGGGGGGGGGGAGAAGAGGAGGAGAAAGAGGAGGAAGAAGAGGAGGAGGAAGGGAAATAGGTCACTTTTCTTCTTTTGGCCATCAGAAATACAACAGTGCAAGTCTGACCATCAATCTAAGGTCTAGAAGGTGATAGGGAATAGTGGAGACTGAGGTGAAGTATAGCATCACCCATCTGAGGCAGAAGCCACTGTTACAGTCAACCATTTCTCTTGTACAAATCCCCTGGGAGTTATAAGTGGTTGTAAACCACCTGCTGTGGGTGCTGGAACTGAACTCTGGTCCTCTGGAAGAGCAGCAAGCACTCTTAACCATTCAGCCATCTCTCCAGCACCCCTCTCTTAATTTTTCAACGTGCTCTGTTGGCTTAGATACTTCCATCAGGTCACTACTTTGCTTTCTTGTTTATTGGCTGGCGGCAGTATGAATGAGGACAGAAGAATCACCCTGGAGGCCAGGAACTTAAGACTGGTAGATCCAGCTCTGACACCAACCCACGCTTCCCCTGAGCAAGCCTCCTCATTGTTTTGTGCCTCAGCTGCCTCATTTGAAAACCTTAGAAGTCCAAAACGCCTTTCAGTCGTAAATTAGTATAGTATATGACTGAAAAACTTTTCTGGATCATCAGTCCCCTGAAGAGTAGCCCAGTAGAAGGGAAAACAGAAGCTCTCAATCCTGTGTAGCAGCAGGTTCTGCATGCTGTGGAGACATGCCTGGGTGTGGCAAACACTTGGTTAGTACAACCACAGGAGTGAGAATGATTTATCAGACCAGATTCCCTGGAGGATACCCACCATCCATCAGGGAGATCAAAAGTATATCCTTATACACTACCACTGAGCTGGAAGTACCCTTTAGAAAACAGACCCTCCTAGGTATTTTGGAACCCAACTCCAAGGTTTAAAAGGAACACTGTGAGTCAGAGCAAAGCTAACCAATAGTGCTCTCCTTTCCCACCTGTGATGAACGCTGCCCTTTGTCAAAGCCATGCTGTGGCCTCTGGCAGGGTCAGTTGCACAAGGCACAGCTCATGTGCGATTCAGCTGAGGTCTGTGTGTATACACAAGTACTTGACTTGGCCCGCACACCTGTGAACTGGATGGAGGACATGAGACCTTGTTTTGTAAGAGAATAAAAATATTAAGCTGGAAAATAACAAAGGGTGGTTGACTGTGGGCTTTTTTTTTTTAACTGTAGAGGTTACAATAAATACATCTTAGAACAAATGAAAGTGTTCACAGTCTCATGGTTACATTAGTGTCTTCGGCAAAGTAAAGGCCCAAGGAATGATGGAAATTTTTGTGAATTATAATCAGGTAGCTTCTTTACACAGGCCATTTCAACAAGATGGCTTGGCTGGGGAAGAGGGTATTTGGTACCTGCATTCCTAAGAGTTTCTGTGCATCACTTAGGAAAGACAGGCCTTTTAATTTTGCTATTAGCAGCTGACAGTAAATGCAGTGTTTCTAAGAATGATTACCTGAGGTAGAGGCAGATGGAGAGCTGTGAGGTCAAGGCCACCCTGATCCACATCATGACTTCCAGGTAGACTGGGACTAGGGAGACCCTGTCAAAACAAAACAAAAAAGAATGATTACCTTTGGTTCCCAAACCAGCTGCAATCTGTTCAGTTCTTGCTGCCCTAGAGGCATTTTCTTCACTGTGCTGTTTCTGCCCTGGCTTTAGGTAACCAGGGTATTTGTTCTAGAAGCCAGGCTGTGCTTACTCTCAAGCCTCTATATAATCTTCCGCTTCTGCCTTGCAAAGAGTTCATTCCAATCTCAGCCTTCAGGAGGGCCCCTCCCTTCCCACCCTGACCATCCAAAATAAAATATCTGAGTCACAGGACCCAACTTGAACTCTCTGCTCAATAATGTACACCACTTGATGTTTCTTATTTCTTTTTGCATCTCCCTAGAAGACAGAATCTAAGCTGAGAACATAAACTGATATGGGCTTGTAGGATATGGGGTCCATGGGAATATACCTCACATGTCTTGTTCACTATATACTTCCAGGACCTTAGATACACAGCAAGAACTTCAAACATTAGTTGACAGAATGGATGGAGGGTTGGGTGGACAGAAGACTCCATCTGGAAAATACCTATAAATGCCCATAATGAACTGAGACTATAGTAAGGAGCAGGATTCTCCTCAAATGCCCCACAGCCTTTCAGGGAATTCAGACCTTTAGAAGGTGAGAGAAATGCTTCCAGAAGTGTATCAGACCTTCTCCCCAAGGTAAGTCTGAGAACAATCTCCACAGAAAATGAGGAATCTTCCAGTGGGATCAGAATGAGTAGAAGGTGGCAGGCCAGGCAGGAGGGGAGAATCACAACAGAGGTACTAACTCTGAAAGCCACTGTGAGTGGCCAGAGCTCCAGAAGTCTATTGTGGCTGGTAAGAGGGAGAGAATTCCACAAAAGAAGCCTGAGCCAGCTCATAAGTCCTAGGACATTGAATTTTAATCTTTATGCACTGAAAACCATTTGAACAGTTTCAAATGGGGAAGTGATATAATGGTTTTATATCTTATGAAGAGGATTTTGGCAGCAGTTAAGGGAACTGACTAGAAACAACAACAACAAAAAATCCCAAAGCATTTAGGAGGTGGTTGTCTGATCCAGATGAAAAAAGGAAAAAATAAAGGATATAAAATATTAGTGATGGAGGGAAGGAAGAGAAAGATTTGAAAGGAAGGGGAGAGAATCAATGGAACTTGGTGATACACGAGATGTGGGAGGTTAAAGAAAGATGAGCACATCTTTAGTCTCAGCACTCAGAGCCAGAGGCAGAAGAGCTCAAGGCCAGCCTGTTCATCATAGTGACCTCCAGGCCAGTCAGAGAGTCAGAGATACATAGTATCTCAAAAAACAAAAACAAAAAACAAAACAAGCAAAAAGAAAGGATGAGGGTAAAGAAAATTTCAGCTTCTGGTTTGTGCCAATGGGAGAAATTTTGCCAACTGCACCAGAGTCCTTTGTTGTGAGGACTCTAGTGCGCTTGGGCCTCCGAAGCCCTAAATCTGGCTTCACTGAGCTGGTCAACACTGGCCTAGCCCAACGCTAGTTTACCTGATTACTAAGCAAATCTGTGTGGCAGGCCCTCTAGCACGGGAACATCAGACTTCAAGACCAATGACTTCTCTGCTAAGGACACACATGCAGTCTCAGCTCACAGCCATTTCTGGAGGCACACACTGGTCCATCACCACAGAAGCATGACTATTGGTCTAAATATAGATATGTCTGTTGCCTCAGAGAAACAAAGACCAGAAGTCCGTCTTCCAGTTACTCCAAGGAAATTTTAAGGTAGTTAAATTGAGAAATCAATTCCTGTTATTTTCTCCAGCCTGTCAATTTGATATAAAGATTAAAGCTATGATCAGCTCACCTGCTGCACACTTCTCTGGACCTTAGTGACTAAGGTAACTATTAGCCCTTCTTATAGCCTCATCCCATCCCAAGATATTCCTGACCAGCCTCAAGGGATACCTCGCAGGTGCTACACTGAGCAAGCACAGCAGGCTGCCTGACCAGGCACACTGCAGGGATTCTCTCTTCTCCTCCTCTGCAGCTGCCACCTGCAAGGTCATGCAATTTGAACAGAATGTGCACTATGTCCAGCCACCTTGGGTTTGAAAATTGGCTTTGCCATGTATGAGCTGTGTGATCTGGGGCAGGTCATTAGCCTCTCTTAAGTTGCAGTTTCTGCCCTCATTAAAAAAAAAAAAAAAAAAAAAAAAGAATATTGGGTGCTGGAGAGATGGCTCAGTGGTTAAGAATACTTTCTGTTCTTGCAAAGAACCTAAGTTTGGTTCCCAGCACCCACCTCAGGAAGCTCACAATTGCATGTAACCCCAGCTCCAGGGGATCCAACACCCTCTTCTGGCCTTCAAGGGCACCCACACACACGGCATATACCCACACAGATACATACACATACATTTAAAAATAAATAAATCTTTTTTTTTTTTGAGATACCCTGCAGCCCCAGCTGGCCTAGAACTTGCTATGTAGACCAGGATGGCCTCAAAGTCACAGAGATCTGCCTGCCTCTGCCTCCCGACTGCTGGGATTAAAGGTGTGCACCACCACGCCCAGCTTATAAATAAATCTTTTTAAAAAAAAAGAACAGTATTATCTGACCTACCTTATGGGGGTAATTTTGATGATTAAACGAGTTAATATTTATAAAGTAGCTAAGAACACACCTGGAACACAGCAAATACTCAATAAATGTAAGCTACTATGTTACTATCATGGTTCCTGGTGGCCCTGGGGATGCCTCTGGTGGGTCCTACCATTAGGAACCAAAGCTCCAAGCGTTCATCATAAGGTAAAGACCGGTATCCTCCTTCTGTGACATGATGCCAAAGGGATAACAAAGTGTCATGACTTATGTCTAGTGTTCTGAAAACATCACTGAAACAGCTACATTCTCACTTGTAGCCCCTTCCCCCATTCTCATGACCAGCTTCAAGAAGACTTCAGAAAGACAGAAGTCCACAAGCGCCCAGGCTAGAAAATAAGCTAGAATGACAGCCACCATGCAGTCCTCCTCTCCCTAGGGCTTTGCTGTGAGGTCAAGTGGGTTCAGCCTGGCTCTAGCTCCCTCAGGATGCGCTTGGCCCGGCAGAGTCCTGCCTTCCTCCTCAGCAGGCTCTCAGAGCCTCTGTGCTTCTCAGTCCTGTCAAAGGGAGAACTGAATGCTGAGGTTCTGAAAAGAATGAGGCACCAGCTGTACTGGAGGTTGGTGGTGGAAAGCAAACAAAGTATCAAAGTACACACAAACCCAAGACTGAAGAATAGTTGTGATATGGGCTTTTAATTTATCCTTGATGAAGTACTTATCAAGTTAGCTATTGATAGGGAGAATAAAATGAAAAGCTAAATATGATATCACTTAGCACTAGCATAAGAAAATAGCCAATACCTAGGAATAAACCTATTAAAAATGTGTGAGACCTTGTGTAGAAAAACCACGAAACATTACTAAGAAGAAGCAACAATGGGGCTGACGAGACAGCTCAGCAGATGAAAGCACTTACCTCAAAGCCTGATGAACTTGAGTTCAATCCTCGGAACCACAGAAAGGTGGAAGGAGAGAATCAACTACACAGTTATCCTCTGACCTCCATATACATGTCATGGCATTCACCCACACCACCACAATAATAAAAAATAAAATTTAAACTTAAAAATATTATTTTTAAAAGGGTATGAGGGAGGTAAGCTGGCTCAGTAGATAAAAGCACTTATAGCCAAGCCTGCTGACCTGAGTTCAAATCTGAGGCTCTACACAGTGGAAGGGGAGAACAAACCCAGGCCTCCACACGTGCACATGGCATGCACATCCTACCCCACAAAAATAATAAAGAAAAAATGAATTAAAGAAAGAAAAAAATGACATTGAAGAAGGAAAAAAATGACATTGAAGAAGGAAAAAAATGACATTGAAGAAGGCTTATGGAGCTGCGCATGGTGGCGTGTGCCTTTATTCACAGCACTAGGGAGACTGAGGGCAACACGGCTTCATAGTGAGACTCGGCCAAAGAACTAGAAAGGGAGGAAGAAAGACAAAGAGCAGGAAAAGGAGAAAAGGAGGACAAGGAGGAAGACAAGAGGGGAGGGCTATAAAAGTGGAGAAACATTCCATATTCTTAAGTGCAAAGATTTCACCATGCCAGGTGGCGTACACCTTTAATTCCAGCATTCAGGAGGCAGAGGCAGGCGGTTCTCTGTGAGTTTGAGGCCAGTCCTGTTTCCATAGTGAGTTCCAGGCCACCTGGAGCCTCAGGGAGACCCTGTCTCAAAAAACAGAACCAAACAAAACAGAAACAAAAATAGCCAACATAATTCTTTTAATATTTTATTATTTTTATTTTATGTGTGTGCGTGTATTGCCTGCATGTAGGTAAGTGCACCTGTGTCGTGCAATGCCGGCAGAGGTCAGAAGAGGCTGTCAGATCCCCTGGGACCAGAGTTACAGACAGTTGTTATCTGTCATGTGGGTGCTGGGATTTGAACCCATGTCTTCTGCAAGAACAACCAGTGCTCTTAACCACTGAGTCATCTCTCCAGCCCCCCAAAAATAGCCAACATAATTTTATACACACAGACACACACACAGACACACACAGACACAGACACACACACACACAGACACAGACACACACACACACACACACACACACACACAGAGTTGAGAGATCTACACTACCAGATGGCAAAACTTACAAAATTACAGTTGAATCAAGATAGTATTAGCACAAACTTTGGCCAGCAGATACATAAAGACACATGAGTAGACCGTGGAATAAAGAGTTTAGAAACATGCCCAAGCATGTACTGTCTTCTAGTGTATGACAAGGATACCACTGCAGGATAGGGGCAAAGATTTAAAAAAATATATGCTGTGCTCAGCTGTACATCCACAAGGAAAAAAACTTCAAGGGGTCCCTTACCTCACACCTGCCAAAATGTCTGTTCTAGAAAGGCTGGACACACAAGTAAAGAGCAGAACACTGAACCTTTTAGAGGGTAATGCAGGAGACTGTCTTCAA